AGAACAACCAAGCCTCAACAGAAAGACATCGGTGATGGTAAGACAAACAGAACCTTAGCTGCAGTAATATAAAATATTAGGAAGAGAAACTACTTTTTTTTAACTTGGCCTAAATAAATTCTCATTTATATAATTTATTAATATAAACATAATTATACTCTCCATTAATATTGAGTTAATAAACTGTTTATATGGATATGTATGTTATTAGTTTTCAACAAATAAATATTGTTTCTCTATTGTTTACTGCACCCCACAACTATCACCTTTTTTACAACATTACTATATTTTAGGCTCATTTTTCTTTTAAAGGTTATAATTAACCTGTTGACATTGCTATTATAGAATAAACAAAGGCTGGCCTTTAGTATTTAATTTTGAACAGCTTCGAGTTCAACATATTATTGTTTGATAATAATAGTAGTGCCTATATATTGTTAATGGCATTCAATGAATCAATGAAAATACATTCAGCCAAATCGAGTGATTACAAAAATCTGATTATTGTTTAAAAAGGTTAATATTATAGCTATAACCTTCATTGCAACCTTCAGTTTTTAGTTTATTTACTATATTCTATTTAGCTGTGGGTATGGTAGCAATCCTAAAGAGGGCGCTACATCATGATTGTATCTTGCTTGTAAAGCAGTACAGACCTCCACTGAAGGCTTATTCCATAGAGTTCCCAGCAGGTAAGACAAGACTTTTTTTATACCTTGTTTTTTGCAAACTTTTTTCTTAAAAAAAGGTCATCAGATGTGGGCGGAAAAAAAATATAAATAAAATTTTGTTTTCTTAGCAAAACGGTTTTGCCAAAATCATTCAGATGGAGGAGGAAATAAAATAAAATGTTACTGTTGAAATTAAACAGTGTATTAATGGGAAGGTTATTAGGAAGAAATTTACATATCTTATTTTTGGAGATTTCTAGGCAGCGGCAGGCATAATAATTTTTTTTCTTTTTCTGGTATTTCCCGTTTTTCATGGAGGTGGGTACACTAATTAGCCAAAAATAATTTTTTTTTTTATGTTCATTCGAAATCATCAATATTGGCAGGTGGCCAGAAACCTTTTTTCTTCATATTTAAATTATATTTCTTTTCATAGTTATCTTTTTGAAGTACTGTAGATATATTTATGTTGCAAAAAATTTGTTAAACATTGATAAAGGACTTATTTTTATTTGCCAGAAAAATATTTTTTGCTGAGTGTGTTGTTATTTTATTTACTCATAATTAATATAATTTAATTGTTAATATATTATTATGAAATATTAATTAATTGTCATAAGTTTATTCAATATAGTTTGTACACTAATGTTTTAACTCTTGATAACAAATTTTATTAATTTGTTTACAGGATTAATTGACAAGAATGAAACTGCTTCAGAAGCTGCTGTAAGGGAACTAAAGGAGGAAACAGGTTATACCGGTACCATTCAAAGTATATCACCAGGTAACAATCTAACAAATTATATTTTACTGGCTTCATCATGTTGTTTTTTTTATATTGAGTATTCCATAGCCTAAGTAGTAGGACCAACCCTTGTGTTACATTCTTTAAAGTGCACATAGCTAGTTGCTCACGCCCCTTCAAAAATTACTCGCGTTTAATGTAACCGAAAAACACCTTATTTTGCAAATTAGCGCCCCTCAACTGATCATCGACCCCTCCACTTCAAATTCTTCC